GAAAATTAGTTCAAACGCATGCAAAAGTGGATTGATTATCATGGAGAATATTTTGAAAAACAATAAAACCAATTTCGATCCTACATATTTGTTTTTTCATTATTAGGCCAGAAATATAAATAGTAACCCTCGTAAGAAAACTTAGTTGCCCCTACTGCTTTAGGTGTTTAATATTGACTTTTTGTTTCCTTTGTGAACTATAGTTAGCGGGTTCAATTGAAAATTCCAAATTTCTGATTATTTGAAAATTTTGTTACAGAATCATATGTTTTTGAATATGTTTTATATTTTTATATAGTCGTAAATTTAAATTATTATCATTCTGCTCAGTTTTCAATTTTAATAATATTTTATACTGTCTATGCATGTTATTTTGAATTACAACTTTTTAAAAAAAATTAAAGCATGGTTCATATACCTTAAGAAAAGCCTGGAAAACTTGAGGATTTCAAATTAGCTAAAATAATAAAATTTTTGCTTATAATCTAGAAAAAGATATTAACCTAGAAAAATTAAAACATTAGGATCATTTTACTGTTTAAAAGGTTTTTTTTTTGTAATGTCATAGTATTCCGCTGAAGGAAATATGCTTCAGACAAAATTTTTAATATAATATTAAAATTATATGCAGATATATTTACTCTGATAGTTGAATAACTTTTTAAGATGCATTTATGAATTTATTGTCTATTTTGAACTTTCGGTGAAAGTTTTTAATTTTTCTCAATGTTTGTAGGTGGTCACCGTAAAATACAGGTAAAACACCCCCTAATTTTGATGAAAATCGGCCCAATATCGTGGGGGGGGGGCGGTACTGAGGAAAGGGCTAAAGGCCGTATTAAAAAACATTTATATTTGGTTGGACATTATTAAGTATGAATCACAAAATATAAAATGTAAGTAATTGTAGCAAAATAAAGTAAATGTAAACTAATTAGTAAATCTAACTTAACTTTTAGAGCTTTCCTCTATTTTTAAATCTCAGTACGATTGTGGCACATGCAAAAATGGAAAAAATAAAAATTTGGACGACGAAATATTTCATAAAAGTAAGATAATTTATTTAGTTACATTAATCAGAATCCCCAAATCCATCTAAAAAAATATCAGAGTCATAGTTCAAAATAAGGTCAACTCATTCTTCATTCAGTTTCATTATTGTCTATAGATCCGACATTAGAGAATTATAACATGACTATGTGCTTATTTTCAAAATAGTTTCTTACAAAAATATCCAATTACATGATTTTGGTTTACTTTTATTAGAGAGCTATTCAACAAAAGGAACTGGTGAAGAAAGAAATTACATTGCATGAAAAGCTTAACCATCCTTCCATTGTCAAGGTAAATTGTTTAAATTTATATTTTTTATATGATGATATGTAATTATTTAAACTTAACTTTTTAATAATTTTTTTTTAGCTGAAAGATTCGTTTGAAGATAAGAACAATTATTATATTGTTTTAGAATATTGTGACTCAGGAACACTGGACAAATACCTAAAAAAAAACAATAATATCCTGTGTGAAAATGAAGGTTAAATTAATATTTTATTTTAATTTTTAAATTACAGTTTTAAAATGTTTCTTTTGTGCTTATTGTTTTATTTTACGTAGTTTATGAAATTATGAAGCAAGTAGTTGATGGGCTAAAGTATTTGCATAGCAGGAAAATTATACATCGAGATCTTTCTCTTAAAAATATATTGCTAACAAAAGACTATAAAACTAAAGAGCTGAAAGTGGTAAGTTTTTTTATAAATTTTTATTTTCGAATGTTTTCTTGGTGCTTGTATAACATTAAAATTGTCCCATTGTGATGGGGTAGAAGTGTCATCATCTCCCAGCACT